CTCCCTTCTACCCTTTGCTTTCTCTTTGATGCTTTTCTCTGCCCACCAATCATTCTATACCCGCCTCTCCCATGGTACCCTTTTGTGGGGAATGCCATTTGACTTTCTTCTTGTTCGTCCTTTTTCTTATTGCATTTTGACCCGACTTGCACCACCTCCTACTATGGGAAGAGACCCAAAAGGGTAGGAGAGGGGATGACCAAAGGGGGAAAGGCCAGACCAATTCCAGTCTCATTGAGCTCCAGGCCAAAAAGGGTGGTTGGCAGAGATGCCAGTGTCACTATTGCAACGGGTTATGGGATTGAGGCATTCCAAGATCTGTCGGTTCCCATGAGGAATCGATTTCCTTCCCCTCGCTCTTTTCCCCCCCGCCCCTGTTGAGCACTCGGAAGAAGACAAGAATTTCTTTTCTTTTTCGACATCTGTTTTAGTTGCTCTTGTCCACATCCAGACCCAACAATTGGGGCCAGACATGCCACTGTCCGGGGGGAGAGGGGGAGTTGTTGGGAGGGGGGAAGAGTGCAGCAGCAAGTTTGGCGCCCACGATGCACATTCCACCGAGACAGAGCCAACCCGGGCGGCTAAATTTAGAGCTGCAGCCCATGGGAAGCTCAGGAAGAACGCAGAACATCTTCTCACCTGCTTGTCATTGCCACTGATTGGTGTGCTGTCAGCAACACACGGCCGGTTGGATCTCCACTCGCCCCTCTCTTCAAAAGTCACTTTCACTCACTGCACACTCTTTTGCCCTTCCCCCCAAAACGAGCCGCTACCTATTCTTAGGCCCTTTCTTTTTTCCCTTATTATTCTCTATTTTTTTTTATTATTATTATTCTTGGATTTTTATTTGTTCTGCGCCAGCGGGTGTTGCTAAGACGGTCGGAGTACATCGAGCCCAGAGGCTTGTTTCTTACTCTGCCTCTGGCTCTCTCTCTCTCTCTCTCTCTCTGAGTGTCTCTTGCTCTCTTGCTAATCTCTCTTCCCTCGCATCACTCTTTTTGCTCTCATTTTTTCCCTTCTTCCTTCTTCTTCTTCTCCCCCAAATCTCCTCCTCCCTCCCTTTCTCTCTTTCTCTCTTCTTTCCCCTCTCTTCCGTGTTAAACCCCCTCCCAGTTCTCCCTCTCCCCCCTCCCCTTCCCTGGATGCAGGGACCCTTCTTGATCGCCTTACCATTGCGATTTGTCCGTGCCGTTCCTTTGAGTGGTGGGCAGTCGTTTTGCGACTGAGAGCCATCCCACCCACGTTTTCTGTCGTCATTCCCCGGAGGAACGACTGCCCACTTGTACGCTCTCCCCGGGCGGCAATCCTCTCCCCCCCCAACACATCGTATATTCACATATCCTTGGGACTCTTTCATGAATACCTAAATCTTTCTTCTATTCATTTCTCTCCTTCATCCAATATTCCTGTTTTGGTCACTGTCTCCCGCCTGAGATTTTTCAATATCAATCATTCACCTCAGCGTTACTGACTGATCTCAAGAGGATATCCTTCTCTTGCAGCATTCCTTGGTATGTTCCTGATCTCGAACTCCACTTAGGACCTCAAAACTGCGAACCTTGGCTTTTGTTTGCATATGCAATCCTGTTCTCTGCTTTGCTGCTTCCGCAGACCCCACTAGCTCTGTTGTGTTCATTTCATGAAGCTGGCCGATCTTCGAACTGGTTTCACTCTCCTTGCAGCTGTGCTTGCTTCTACTGCCGAAAATCAACAACATCCGCTGAAACATGGAAGCTGATTGTCTGTCCAAAAGGTCATTTGCGCTGGTAGCAAGTGCGACTATATCGTGTGTCCCTGGAGCTGGTCGCAACAGTTGTGCCGCAGCCTTTGCGCCCACTCTCCACTACAGCTGCGATCCGGAAAGGGCAACACTCCCTTTCAAACGCAGGTGTATCTCACCAACCTCAGAATCAACCATGCCGGTGCAAACTAGCGCCCCAACACTCCCGGACTCGTTTCCGTCCTTCATGTCAGTATTTGGCGGACGGACGCTTGATTTTCCCGAGAAGGAAGAGCGAAGCACAGCACGCAAACCACTCCGTCTGCCTACCAATGTCACTATCAATACCTCGACGCGCCGTCCGTTTCATTACCAGCATCGTGCGAGCATTTCCTCCGTGACATCGGGCTCCACCGACTCTTCACCCACTACTACCATCTCCACCTTCGACTCGCCCTCGGTGGCGGATACATCCCCGAGTTCCTCCCCCGAGTCTCCGTCGTCAATGCCGTTGGCATTCAACAAATTCACCATGCCTCCGGCACGAAACTTCGAAAACCAGGCTTCCTCGACGAACAGCCTTGCACAAACTCCCTCAGATGCTTCGAGTCTTCCGCGGCCAGACTCCCCGGGTAGGCGGGCGCGAAACCTCAAAAATCTCTCACTGAGGATGCCCCCTCCCTGTCAGTCGCGCCCACCGATCGCAACAGCTTCCATGGTCGAAGGGACTTCCCACCATCTTTCGGCTCCTCCCTCTCCCGTGCACGTACCATTGAAGGGTATGCGCCGTAAACCGGCCAACTTGACCATCCGCACGCCGGGATTCGGGTCATTCTCCAACAACATCACCGAGCTTGTTCCTCCGACTCCGCACTCCTTGCGCCACACCGAATCATCACCGTCCCTGACCTCTGTCTTTTCTCCGTCTTTTGGCCCTAAGGGTGGTATGCAGCTTCCTCGACCTATGACGCATCATGGCGCCCGACGACCGTCGGCTACCTCGGAAAACAACCCGTCGCCTCTGCAAACAGTGGAGGATGAAGATTCAGCTTCGGGTGGGGTTTTACCTGAATTGGAGGAAGAAGACGACCACCTGGATTCTAGAGAATCTACGCGGCGTAGCGAGCGGGGATACCCCAATGGTCCTATCCAGATATACGATTCCGGCGTCTATCTTTACTTGGAACCGACCGCGCAAGAAGCATCTCAATTTGATGTCGTTGTGAATGTGGCCAAGGAAGTAGCGAATCCATTCACGAAAGCCAGCGCCAACACCGAGACCGTGGTGAGCGCTCTGCGCAATGGATCAGTCAGCCCTAAGCGCTTGTCTATTGCGGAGCCGTGGACAGCTGCCTCGGAAACGTCTTTCAAGTCCGCGTTCGAATATCCTCAAAGTGAGGCATCATCGCCCGCAACTCCCAAGAAGGATGCATCCGGACCGGAATATGTCCATGTTGGCTGGGATCATAATTCGGAAATCCTGGAAGATCTATACCCATTGTGTGAGCTGATTGACTCCCGCATTGCAAATGGAAAGAAAGTCCTTGTGCATTGCCAATTGGGAGCTAGCCGGTCGGCCTCGTTGGTCATTGCCTATGGTCTTTTCAAGAACCGAGACTTAGATTTCAACTCGATGTATGAAATTGTGAAGGAACGCAGCCGCTGGGTTGGCCCCAATATGAGCCTGATATATCAGCTGACGGATTTCCGCTCCCGGCTCATGCGTGGGGACCTCTCCAAGGCCGCTCCCGAAGAGTGGTTCGGCGAAAGTTCGCCAAAGGAGACTGAGCAGCGGCGCTCGCGAGCTTACAAGCGAGAGTCGGTCGAAACTTGCATTCCTGGCGATGAAAGTATATGCTCCGATGCGGAACCCTACTCATCCAAAGCCCTTTCGCAAGCGTCAATGTGCTCTTTGTCGGTGCCGTCCACCAACCAGACAACACCTGTGTCAATTGAGAGTCTGGGGTTCACCAAGTCCCTCACGCACAAACGAAGCATTTCGCCTCGACCATTGCCCCTACGACAGAGCTTCCATACCGGATTGGCGAGTGATACTACGCCTTCCAAACCGGCATCGCTTCCATGGCACATGGAAGCCGGGCCGTACTCGTATGCTAAGACCGACATGTTCATGCGGGAAGGCTCTGAGGAATCCAATGCTCTCTTCTCCCCGAGGACGACGGACTTCATGGCGGCGCCTGTTGCGCGGTCTGTTTCCGACGTCCTGGAGAATGATGGTCTCAACGGACTGCGGTTTCGGTCGCGGATCGCGGACCCGCGGTCTCCGCCTCCTGGGAACGAGCGGTTGATTATGAGAAATATTGATGAATTTCTGTGATTCTTGCCATATTTGTCTTCGAACTGCGAGGACTGGCCAATTGGGCGTCAGTCCTGAGAAATGATTCCATGACCTATTACCCATCCAACTATCGCCTGAACCGCACCCGTCAGGTTAAACATTCATTCTCTCCTTTTTGCAATCCCGCCATTTGTGGCATCGACACACTCCCTCATTTTCTTCCTCTCCACCTACTACTTTCCCTTCTCCTGTTTTCATCTGATTGATGAGTTGATGACCAAAGCGGGCTTTACGGTCGTTATTCCCCTTCATTTCTCCACATGTTTTTGGTCGGACTGCGGTCCCACCTATTTTGCATTTCAAGACCGAGTCGGTCGACATTGAGCATGCTTCCTGGTCAAGCGGCGCCGTGGTGTTATAAAAGATAAAGGGCGGCGAGGAATCGTGCCTGGTAACTTGTAATACTATTTTTTATTACGCGTTTCTTTCTTTGGGGGTGGTATACAGCTGCGGAATAATACCCTCGGCTTGATGGGGCAATGTGATGTTTGAATGTCGCGTGAGTTCGATTGTAACAGTAGTTAGTATGGAAAGTAGTCCGTGGGGCCCAGTCTCGGGATCCGGGGGAGCAATTCCAGAGGTTAGTAGGTTAGTTACGGCCTCCAATTCAACCTTCACAACCTTCAACACCCACCACACTCTCCTCAGGAATCCCAGGGCCATTGGAACCTGTGCACAACCACGCACCATGGCCGATAACCACCCAACATATCTAGAACCGAGCGAACTCGGCACGAAGGACTAGTGAGTGGCTTTTCTTTCTTTCTTTCTTTCTTTCTTTCTTGTCTTAACCTGAATGTTACCCCGCTACTACCCCTCCCGAATTTTTATCCGTGCCTTCCATTTTCAATGCCATACCAACGCAAACCCTACATATATACCCTACATACCCTACCCAGAACCCATCGCATCCAAATGAGATAGAGATAAAACTAACAACGAAGCGAAAAGCTGGGAAACCTTCTACGCGCGCACCCTCTCGCACCTCTCCTCCAAACAAACCGCCCACCCCTCGAAACCCACGCACACCGATCCTACCTCCAATTCCCAGAGCGATGACGGCAGCGAAGACGATGAAGACGAAGAGGATGATATCGACGATGACTCCGACCCCGGTACCTCGTGGTTCAGCGAGCATAATGCGCCTGACAAGGTGTTGGAGTTCTTGACGGGTGAGGAGTTCCCGTTGGCGCCTTGTAATACCCTTCCTACTCGTCGTGCTGCTCACGGGGTAATTGGGGGTGAGGGGGGCCAGGGGGAAGACGAACAGCCGAAGATCCTTGACCTTGGGACTGGAAATGGGAGCATGCTCGCGTTGTTGAGGAAGCGCGGTGGGTTTCGCGGGGAGATGGTTGGGGTGGATTACTCGGCGCAGAGTGTGGAGTTGGCGAGGCGGTTGCAGCGGTTGAGGATTCACAGGGCCTATCTTTCTGATTCGGAGGATGAAGATGGGGATTCAGAGGGTGAGGATGGGGGTGAGGAGGAGGAGGGGGGGGTTAAGGGGCCGGAGATTCGGTTTGAGGAGTGGGATATTCTGTCTTCGTCGCCTTCGGCGTTAATATCGTTACCGGATGGAGTGGAGGCGAAGGACAGGTTGGATTGGTTCCCCTACGAGCGGCGCGGGTTTGATATCGTCTTGGATAAGGGGACGTTTGATGCTGTTTCGTTGTCCGCGGAGGAGGTGCTGGTTCCTGCTGCTGCTCACGAGGAGCAGAGGAAGGACGGCAAAAAGGTGCAGAGGCGCGTTTGTGAACGCTACCCTGGCATTGCGAGGGCCTTGGTCAGGCCTGGCGGCTTCCTGGTCGTCACGAGTTGTAATTGGACTGAAGAGGAGTTGGTCGAGTGGTTCACGGCTGCGTCTGCGTCTGCTGGCCCGGATCTAAAAGATCGGTTGGTCGTTTGGGGGAGGGTCGAATATCCGCGCTTTCGCTTTGGGGGGAGGGAAGGGCAGGGCGTATGTACAGTTTGCTTTCAGAGGGTGGTTGATTGATCGGGGCGTCTTGATGTCTGCTACGCTTGTGGTCATAGCATAGCATAGCATCTCGTGTCATACCCTGTTTGCATATACAGCCAGCATTCTTACTCTCAATGTCAATATCTCCCTTCGTTTGAGGATGTGGTCAGGCAGTAGTTGGTCGGGTCGCTGTAGCGGGCATTGAGGATGTTGGCCTGAGTCGCTTTGGAATGAAGATGCACGTCGAGGTCTTTGACATTCTAATGGTCAGATCACAAGTCATGACAACTGAGAAAAAAAAATGGAGGTTTGAGTAGAGCAGTTCATCATGCTGGAGAGAGGCGTGTGCTCGAGACAAGGATGCTTTGATGTTGTTGTGTTGTCGTGTTTGCTTGCGTTGTTGAAGAAAGACAATCGAGATACTATTGATTGCAAGTTGCGGTGGTGATGCAGTCCCCACCAGACTCGAGAAGAGTCAAAAGTGGCCCGACTAGGTGGCTGACCTCCCCACTGGGCAGTAGCACAAATACTCCAGCTATCTAGGGAATCTATCTAGTCTACCAGTCAGAAGCTTATCCTACAATTGGGGCGAGATGACACAAAACAATCAATGGCTAGTAATGCTCTGTGGTTTGTTAATACGGCTAAATGCAAGGCAAACAACCAACGTGAGTGGGAGAGTGAAGAACTGCCGAAAGGATTGTCGGGACATTCCAGGGTGTTGACTGTTGACAGGTGGTCGGCCTCAATGGATCGAACCACCTCTGCAGCTGCATCCCGGTCGGACCAATGCGTCTGTCTCCAAGGTATCAATTGATTTACCACAGCATTTATGTTGCCATGTCCAGCACGGAGATGATTTCCTTCCTGACGATCGATGGGTTTGCCTTCGGGTGTGAGCTGAGCTACTTACTTACTTTCTTCGATCCTAGACTACTCCTACTCGTACGCAGCAATAGCAACGGCATCAGCGTCAGCATCAGCACCAGCACAAAACAGCTGCATCCAACGTGTCTTGGCGCAAGTGCACCATCGCCTCCGTTCCGACCAGCACAACAACAACTCCAGTTCTGAAACTTGTCTCTCCCAGTTATTTCTTGCCGGGTATCCTCCCTCCTGCCCCTTCTCGGCCGTGGTTATTTGCAGCAGCAGGACTAGCATTGGGCGATGGGCTCCGACAGACGGAGTGAGGTCAAAGTGGATCCGTCTGGAATGTGCACAACGTCATCCCGAGTTGGACGGGATTTTCTTTCTCCCCCCAAACTGGGCAGCAGTTCAACAAGAATTCCATGAATGTTGGCGGAGTAATCCTTCTATTAATTTTTTTTCCCTCGTGGTCATCATAAGCAACACATGATCATCTTCTTTTTGTCAATCGGCTCGGTTCAGGCTCCGATGGCTGCGTGCCTGGCAATCCTTCGTCGATCAGGAACATTAACCCAGGGAAGAGAGGGGGCTTGATTTATTCTCGCCAGGTCAGCAAGTCAGACAGTCAGACAGACAGCCAAGTCAGGCTCAACGATCGTGACGTAGGGTCCGACGATAGGGAAAGGGATAAAAGAAGCCTAATAGGAGAAAGGGAAAGGGTGAAGGGCGACTCCACTCGGGGCCACGGCCAGGCTGCCGGCCAGCCTGGTTAGCAGATCAGAGTCCACCTCAGTTTGGGAGTTGAATAGGATCCTCGAAGTAGGGGAGGGGGGAAGGTCAGCAACGTCTTCTTAAAATAAGAGATGGTGGGAGATGTCACGGGGTAAATAGATCGACGGGACTTTGAGGGAAATCCTGGGTAACAAACGAACCCCCTCCATGACATTCCAGGCTTTTTTTTTTATTTTTTTTTTACTTTTGACAGGAGTTGACTCTGTTGTTGTTGTTTTTGTCTCTGTCCCAGGGACATTCAACACTAAACCCGGATAAGTAACTGGGCTGGGAACTCCACACTCACTCTTTGAGTCTCAACCTTGAAGAGAGACTCCAGAGAAAGATTAAGGTCGTGTTCACAGTTCCAAGTTACCCGTTACCCTGACGGTACCAAACTCAACCGGAGCAAGAGCGGGCGCTTCCCCCGGCCCCTCTATCCAAGCCCCGTACGGTACGGTCAGCTCGGATGACATCATGCTCCCCCACTCGGTTGAAGCAGCTCCGTTCAATGCTCCAGGCTCCCTCCAGGCCCTAGACCGGTCCATGATGAGCGGGCGTAATTACTGTATGGTTTATCATGGCTAGCGACGGCCACGGGGGCGGGAGGGAGGCCCCGATCAGCCTGAGTGATTTTTAGTTGTATTTCAACTCGGTTTTCACGTTACAACTTCCAAGTTACACGCGCAATCATCATGATTGTTCGTGGGACAATTGAATCGTCTTTCTCCCTCGTAATCGCGGGATTCAATGGTACTGTCCCAACTGTACTTTCTGGTTTGACTTTTGTTTTCTCTCTTATTTTTTTGGGGAAGTTGATCTCCCGACTGTTCTTTTCTGGAGGGAACAAAGAATGAAGCATCCGACCTGATGGGACTGTGAATGAAGAAAGCGACTGACTGTCTCGGAGGATTTGGCCTCTTCCCATTGCAGCCACACCAGCTGATCGATCCTAGCCTCGCAGGTGACCGCGCAGCAGTGCCTCTCGGCCTCCACTAGAACACTCATAATAGTAACAATAACAACAACAACCACAACAACTATGCTGCAGAATCACGTTGACACTGAAGAGATAGACCATCAAAAAAGTGAGAAAGACAGACAGTGTCACTTCAACTTTTTTATTTTTTTTTAGCGTTGGGAAAGCATCCTTTGTCTGGACCGAGACCCGTGACATCCGGGCACTGGCTGATATCATCCACGATTCCACTTCTCGGAAGGCAGATGCGAGTGGAGCAAATAACATCCCAGAATTGCCTGGTTGTTCGGCCTGTTCTGCTGTTCGTTTGCTGGTTTGTTAGTCAGGAACCGGCCCAGCCCTGACTGACCTAGAAATCTAGTCTGTTCTCTGCGATCATTCGCTCTCTTTCTCTTCATTGAGTGTGGCTTGGTGACTTTCCAGAACCAACCCAAGAGAAGGAAAGAAAAGAAAAGAAAAGAAGAAGAAAAAGCTGCTTCTGCTTTGGCTGGGGAAAGACCCGCGTGGACTAAACAGTCTTCTGGTTTTTGGACGGTAATTGAGTCGAATCCAGAGCGGATCGCCCGACCCCCGCATTGCTGGATTACTAGCAAAAACCCAATCCAGTCATTTACAGGGAATCCTGTGGCGCTGCCTTTCCTAATCCATTTTTATTCGCATTGGGGGGATTTATTAAAAATAAATTTAGAGAGGAGGGGGGAGGGGGGGGCATTGAGGAGGGAGACCGAGGGTGTAAGAGAGAGAGACTAAGAGCAAGAGGAGGAGAAGAACCCCCGCAAAAGATAGGGAATAGTCAAGAGTAAAAGTAGTAGCAATAATCAAATAATAATAAATCTAATTCCTCTCCCCCCTCTTCTTTTCTCTCTTTACTAGAGTAAATTCAGCAATTAATTCCCTGAGTAATGATGACTGATGCATGTAATTAACTATCGTTGATTCTCTCTCTCTCTCTCTCTTTCTTTTTTTATGATTATTATCAGTAATCTCAGTAGTAAGTACTGAGTATCAGCAGTATCAGTAGTGACAATAGTGCAATCGTACTAGACTGGACCTCGTGCAGCCATCCAATCCATTCATTCATTCACTTGTTGTATTCACTCATTCCTCTTTCCTGCAGCTGCTGCTCTACACCTTTTCTTTTCCCTAACTTTAACTTACTCACTCTGTTCTCCTCTTTTTTTTTTTTCTTTTATCCTTTTGCTCTCTCCCCCTTCGTCCCTTTCCCCTCTTGCTTTCAATTTCCCCTCTCCATCTCTTCCTCTTCCACCTCCACCTCCCTCCTCCTTTTCTTCCTTTTCTACTCACACTCCCTTCCCCCAATAACTTCTACTTACGAAACACTTTCATATCTTCTTCATACCCCCAATTGACTCCATCTCTCAATTGCCCAGTAAATCTCTCCTTTTAATTGGCCCTGAACCTTCCTGGTGCTTAGCCTGACAGGTACCTCGCTCTGCCGCTCGTCTCCCTGGATTTTTGCCCGCCAGCTGAATTCCTTTGCCTCCTCTTCTTTCAATTTATTTCTCTCTCCTCTTTCCTCTCCTCCCACTTCCTCTCCATTCCTCTCTTCCCCCTCTCCATCGCTAGATCAAAGCAGCCCGAAATCTTTTTTGGTCCTATCTGCTACTCTTCTTACCTCTGGACTGCACGGGACCCATAGCCCGACAGTCCACGTACTAAACATGGCCTCTTTCAAGGTACCGTGCTCTCTTTGCTTTTCCTGGACTTTTTCCGTGGATGGCGTGCTCTCCGGACAATCAGCACTATTGAAATCTCCCCCGACAATAGTCCCGACTAACCACTCCGATCTCGTAAATAGGAATTGTCCCTTTCTCGCCCGCTTCCTCAATCCAACTCCCGTCATCACTCCCATTCCATCTCGCTCGGTGCGGTCAACGCCAATCATCGGGTGACTCGTCGCAAGAGTGTCACCACAGCCGCTGCTGCTAATGCGGCTGCTGCTGCGGTCGCTGCATCCTTGAAAGAATCGGGCGATTCCATGGGAATTCCGATGCCCGCACACCGCCGTGGAAGTCGGAAAGGCTGGGAATCCAGCTCGGTCGGAGCCCCCTCCGGCTTCGGCTCTTATCTGTCTCGCAGCATGAACAGCCCCAGCCAGGAACCCCCGGTCGCTCGCAGGACCTCCCCTTCCCATTCCACCACCATCACCACCCCCGCAACAATCACCGAGAACGCCGCTCCTATTTCCTCCGACGCCAGCAACCCAGCTGCCAAGCCAGTCACCACCAAGAACCGCAACCGACGGGCCAGCGAAGGTGCCCACCAGGTCAAACCCGAGGGGAAGCGGTCCATGGCCGAGCTTCGCTGCGAGCGTTGCGGGAAAGGGTATAAGCATGGCAGCTGCTTGTCCAAGCATATGTGTGTATCCTCCCCCCATGCCATCCGGCCACCGGGCTCGGTCCGGAGCAAATGCGCCATGTCGGCTCTGTCCCAGGTCGCCCTCGTGGTCATTCCGCTCCCTTCGAATCTCTCCTTCCCCCGATGGATCGCAGTGGATTGACGTTTATTGGCACCACAGGTGGGAACATGACCCTGCATGGGCAATCACTTCGAAACTCTTGATTTCCAAGCACCAACAGGTGCAATTGCTGGAGGCCGCCTCCGTCCTGGTCACTATGACTCAGGAGGATCCGGATGAGAACGCTGAAGCCGACTCGGAGATCTCATCCTCCTCACCGGACGCATCGTCGGAGCTTCGGGAGGGTCTCAGTTCCGCCGAGACGACTCCGCCCCCGATGGACGAGGATGAGGACGACGATGAAGACATGTCCATGGAGCCCACGGCCGACAAGCGATTCAGCGTTAGCAATGCCTCGGGTCTCTTCTCGCATTCCTATCAGTCCGGACCCTCAAGCTCGTTCACGAGCAGCGCTCCCTGGGCGTCTCCAGCATTCTCCCATGTCCGGCAGTCGAGCATCGACACGCGCCCTTCCACCGCGGAAGCTAAACTGCACGAGGACGACGAAGCCGATCTGGCAGCTGCCATTGGCCTCTGCAACTTTGGCACCCCTCGCATGGGCCCTGTACCGCTGTCTCCGAGCGTGCCGCCAGTGCCTTCCCTCCCAACCCGATTCCTCGATCAACGCAGTTCCTCCGACAGCCAGAGTCACAGCTTAGATCAGTCCAATACAGGCCTCGCCAACGCGGCCTTTTCGAACCCCACTCCCAACATCTTCCTTTCCCTTCCATACAACCCCTCGTTGTCTTACAAGGTCTCCGATGAGCGCGAAGTTCGAACGGGCGGAGCGGCAGACCGTGCCAAACGGCAAACCCGCAATGCAGACGTTGATTTCAGCAGTCGGCCAGCTCAGGCAGACGATGATGACGATGGCATCTTCGGCCGGATGGAAGAATAAATGGGATCCCTATTCCTGACGACCGTCCTCTACACTCATTTCCCCCCCACCACTCTCCTATCCGATCCCTATCCTTCTATCTTCTTTCCGCCGAGGCCGCTGTATCCACAGCCATTGACCCCATCACCCTGACGACATGTACGAGATTGCGTGGCTTTTTGTAAATGTTGATATTCTATTTCTCGTGTTGGAGTTGGAACACCCCTTTTGCATGTATCGCAGATTTTCTATATCGATTTGTATAACCCCAGCGCCGGCTGTGGCTGGATTTGTCTGCCGCAACCGCACACTTACTACTACTCACTCACACATTGACTGATTGACTCCACCTATACCAATTTCATTTGTTTTTCTTTTTTCTTTGTCACTTGTGCACCTTCCACTGTACTTTTTTAGCCCATTGGGGAGAGAAACCTCTCGAATTGCATGCACGCATCCGATCCGTCGATTCTACATGGTGATCGTACCCTCTTGCTACTTGGATCTAACATGGCACGCAAAGCGAACGACACCAACCGAATCGGCGAACTCGTTCTATTTATCTTATCTCATGTCCGTCGAGTCTCACGGTATCGACCGACCCAATCACCTACTCACCATCGATGTTCTTTTTTGCCTGTCTGCCTGCCTGTCTGTCTGTCTGGATGAATTGAATGAACAAAGCCGGGGTAGGGGTAGCCCCCATAGGTACCCCCGCGGTTTGTCTTTTCGAACTCATGTTTCGAATTCTGTTTCCACCTTCTGTATAAAGGGAATCAAATCTTCTTTTCTGAACCTGACTTATTTTCTATACCTTCAACCTCGGGTCCTCGTTGGCGTGACATTTGTGCACTGTAATCAATTCTCCCCCGTAACTAGACTACTGTATGTATGTATGTATATGTGCCCGCCCGTGCTCCAGCGCTCACCGCTGGACCGAGGTGAGGAGCGCGATAGTTTCCCCTTCCGGTAAATAGGTGACTGCCCAGCCCGGGCCTGCCATTCTAGGTAGGGACCGTACTTGTACAAGGTTAGTAGTTTTCTACCTCCGCCCGCTCAGTCTAGTATCTTAAGAGCGGAGGTAGACCACATTTATCCTGGCAAACGTAGGTTGAGTTCCTTCGTGCTAATGGAGTAGGTAAGTAATAGGTAGATAAGTCGCTATCTCGGCTCCATCCCTACTCATTCCAATGTGATTGCTACTGCGGGATCTTCTGTCTGATCCGTACCAATCCTAGTACAGGAACTATCAGAGTAGCAGCTCAGCGTGGACCAAAGAACGGTTGAATATATGTATATATGTATGGATGCATGCTCGTGTGAAAGTGAGATACCGTCCCTCATTGATGTATAGTTACATGCGTTATCTCAGTACAAGAAACCAAAGTCGGGGGTGGGGGGTGGTTTGGCCCTCCCATCCAATTCGAGAGTACAAATAACACCGTATGCTCTGAGAGGTTGAGAACGCTGAAGGAAGAACGATAGGAGGAGCACTTTATCTCACACATATCGAACAATTAATCTTCCTCGGGGGGGATAGCAAGACAATGAGGAAATGAGCATAGTGGAGAGGTATAAAACGAAATATATAATGGGGGGCTTTTTGGAAAAAGGACGAGGGCAAAGAAAAGAAGAACAAACGCCAGCCAGCCTCCTCTCCCGCAGAGTCCGCTGGGCGTCAGATCGAACTCGGCGTGGACCCCTCCCTCGTAACTCCGTGAAACTCCCGTATGAGATGAATGGAAGGTAGAAAGAAACCGGATAAAAAACAAATCAGAAGTAGTCGTTACGCATGCATGTACCCGTTCCCGCTCCCCCTTTCCCGTCCTTTTGTGCGACCCGTTCGCCCCGTGTCATGGATGTCGTGGGGGTGGCATCACGACTCGTTCGCAGGCCCGCCACCGGGCCCGCTGGTGTCACCGAAGACCGGGAAATTGTTCGACATGTCCGCCCAATCCCATTCAATGGTCATCGGCATTTGCCACAGATCTTGCGGGACGAATGGTTGTTGGAAGGACGAGAGGGGTGTGTCGGCCGAGGTGGTCGTGAAGGGTGGTTGATCGCCAAACCGTACGCCGTCAAGGTTGTGTGGGCTGAGCATTTCGAAATCGGGACCCAGGCCGGCTAGGCTATGTATGGTTTCCTGAAGGTTCGGAGGGAGGCCACTACCGGCTGCAGGGAAGGCTTGGTCGGGAACAAAGTTGCGTGTTGCGGTGGGCGCATTACCCGTGGGCTGATTGTTCTGACCTGTCGGGAATGAGGACGATGCAAGGGGCACTGCTGTTGCAGCGGCGGAGGGTGCATCTGATGTTTTCATGGCGGGGGTCGTGGGGGACTGATTTCCGTTGGATGTTTGTTGCTGGTTCTTGGGATCATCGGAGGTGGCTTTGCGCTTCTTCTTCGAATGGGACTCCCTCTCCGCCTTGTCGAGAACCACCTGCGCGATTCGTTCAAACTCGCCACATAGAGTGAGCATGCGTTTGATACTTCCGTTTGACTCATCGGATACCAGCGTCGACAGGAAATTGACCACCACGTTCATCAGCTTCACATCCGAGCGCGCTCGTGCATCATTGGGGTTTTGAAGGATATTGGCGAATAGAGTGACCAATGCAGAGACGGGGTAATATAAGATCAACCTAGGGCTTGTTAGCAGGCATCTCTGCAGCCCGCAGAATATGTACTAACCAGACACATGCGAAGTCGCCTTGCGGAATGTATTTGATGAGGTTGATGGACGCTCGAGCGGCAGTCACGCAAAGAACTGCCGACAGGAACACCCTGGGGTTCAATGGCCTGGCGTTGAGACCTTGAATGGCATAGTTGGACAGGCGGCTTGTCCAGTATCCATGATGTACAGACATTCGATGGATTGTTGTCAAGCAGTTGTAGTAAGCGAAATGAAGAACGACGACATGCAGGATCAACGGCGTATGGGTAGCTTTGATCTCATTCTCTGGGCGGAAATCGAGTGGTATGCTATCTTTCCAATCTTCCAATTCTTTGTCGAGCTCTCCAATGGTGTTCAACAGTTCGCCATCCGACTGTTTCGACGCTTTCGCTGAATATAGTCGCTTGTACACTCGACTTCCAATAGTAGCAAAGCGACACATCGACCTGAAAAGGTTGAATTTGCTCTTTCCATCCGACAGCGGCACATTGCCAATGTTGTCAGGGGGATCTTCACTCGGTAATTCGACATTCATATCATCATCGTCCTGAACCGGTGGGCGGCCGGAACGGAGACATAGACTAGTTGAGAATCAGTGAGCGTAGCTCCAACAAGGAAAACTGCTTGACTTACTCTTTATCAAGCAAATAAGCAATCCAAAACACCCGCTTGCGCTGTTCGACTTCGACGGGGTTCAAACCAAACCCAGAGCCACGTTTATGCAGCCCTATGCTGTGAGACAGCCGAATAGCTGCCGCGACAAGGAAGAAAGATGGTTGCGGGTTGGGGGTACCTTGTAAGAAAAGTGACTGGAACAATGTTAACAATCTGCGTAAACTCGCACAAGAAGCCACTAACCATTCCCAGCAAGGCTTGAACGCTCAGTAAATCCGTATTGCGCATAGTGAGCTCGGTTAGAACAGCCATTGCGTTCTTGAGGTAAAGCCACGCTTTTTTGTCTTCCTCTTGTGGCACTAAGTTGTTCATGACCCGGATTCTATGCGCGATCGCCAGAACAACGTTGATACTAGCCCACCAGCCGGAGCCTTCATACGGGTCGCGGGAATATTGCCGTTCCACAAGATGCATGAAAGTCGGTTCATGGAAAAGCGGGAACATGCAATTAAAGTTCGCAAAGAAGTCTTGAAAAAGGGACATTGCTTCTTCTTTCGGCGGTAATGGCTTGAAAACTCGACGGGCGAATATATCGCTGAAGATCTCCGGCTTCCAATACATCCACTTATTGTCGTCGATATATGCGGAAGAGATCATATCCTGAAACGAAGAGTCGCCTGTTTTCTCATTCACCCATTGTATGCCTTTCGGAGAGAATATCGAGAAACCCGATGACGAGCCTGTCGCGGCATGTCAGCTTAGACTCCGGATATGATTCCTGCATAGATACTGACCAATATACCTCGTCTCTCCACAATTGTTCGTCACAAGCGAGCACATCATATCCGACAGACCTTCAACTTCATTTTCAGATTCCTTCGGCGAGTCTGGAGATGTAGGGGCCGTATGCGGGCTTGACTGAGATTCGACGCGGGGGGTAGAGTGATGCGAGGAGGCTTGTTGAGATTGGTTATTAGAGTTGGAAGCATTGAATCTCCCCGGACTTTTTGGGAGACTCAGCCCACCGTTCGCCAAAGATCGATCGGCCAGGCGGCGTTCTAGGGTTCCGAGGTCGGTCTTTCCTCCATCTTCCTCCGAAAGTAGGCCTGAGAGGCGCAGTAGAGATTCCATCCTCCCCAGTCGATTTTCCAGCCCTTCGATGTATTTGGCACTACTCGACCCCAGAGTGTTAGCGCAGAACGGAGGATGACAGGACGGCTAGTTGAGAGCAAGGCTCACCCTTTGGGCGGATTCCGCTTTTTCTCGACCTGTGTGAAGACACAATCGGTCTTGTAGTTGATGCAGTGGGAGCACTTAGGCATCTTGCCATCGCATTTGATCTTCTTCTTCCGGCACATATCACAGGCCTAGACGGAGCATGGTCAGCCCATTGCCGGACAGACAACCAGCGCAGTGTGTCAAATCACACGACCAGCGACTCACCCTGGCGATTCTTCTTCTCTTAGCGTCATTGGTATCATCACCCATGCCCATTGAGGCATCTTCCTGGAACGCCGCATTGTGGTGAGCGGAGGGGATCGGCGAAGTGTCATGAGGATAGCCGCCGAAAAACTGCTGCTGCTGGTTCATGAGCATGGGCATGTCGAAGCCCATGCCGTCGGGGCCTTCCCCGATGCCATCCATTGCGACAGAGCGAGGACAGGAGGATATTCGAGTTGTATGAGAAAGTCCTCTATGACGAAGTGGAGTAGTCTTTAGACCGAGCGGGTAATGATTGAGTCGAGTCGAAATCGGGCTGGATGCGGGGTTACTTCCCGGCGACGTCAATGAAATGCAAATGCAAGCCAACCGTTGATTCGCGATAAGGAATGACTAGGGGTGAGCTTGTCGAGGAGCCAGATTCGATGAAGAAGTGCGCATCCACCTGAAGTGGAAAAAAGAGCCAACAGGGAAAAGAAAAAACGGGGCTTTAGGGAAAGAAAGAAAAACGGTGATGATAATTAACGGAGAGTTAGTTTTGGTTAGCGGATGGACAGACGGAGAATGGGTGGATTATTGAGTAATCCACTTTCTTCCCCGATACGATACAGGCACGTGGCGACTCGGCCTATTTGTCCCCTTCTCGGCTCTGGCCGGCGTTATAAGGAGATAAGAAGGGAGAGGGAGGGGGGGGGGGGGGGGGAGAGAGAGAGAGAGAGAGAGAGAGAGAGAGAGAGAGAGAGAGAGAGAGAGAGAGAGAGAGAGAGAGAGAGAGAGAGAGAGAGAGAGAGCGAGAGAGAGAGATAGAGAGAGAGAGAAAAGGAGAAGAGTAGGAATAATCAGGGGCTATTCAAAAATGATAGAATGTTTTGTCTGAGTAGAGTGTGAATCGAAGCAATAATGGGACCGGATCAATTCGCAAATCTGATCCGAGCAGAAGCTGACAGGAAGAGGGAGAGAAGGGGAGGGAAAAAAAAGAAAAAGGAAGACGGATGAGTTGAGAGGGTCAAGAGATAGAGCTTTGCAAATTGCATCCGGACAGACAGACAGATAGATAGACAGACAGACATGCCCATAGCTTGCTGTCTCATCCACTGTCATACACACCTGTCAAAAAAGAGTGAGAATGAGAGAGAATGACGGCAGCCTGCTGCTACTATGCCGCATTAGCTCGCTTGATCTCCATCTACTCCGTACTAAACTTCGGAATCGTATCATTTCTAGCAGTCAAGCTTTGGGACTGAGTGGTTTCTGTTCCCATGAATACGAGAACGGACGGAAGTCGTTAACCCCGAATGTCCGTAACGGAAGATGGAAGCCCGCCCTCCGTGAGTTTTGCTTGAACTCGGGCGGTGCTTCGCTTTCCATTGCTGTGACTCCCGAGCTGTTGGCCTTGGCAAGTCTGGCTCTACGTACTTCTCTCTTTGTCCATTCGGTTCTCTCTCACCTCTCATCCCCCCGCTCTCTTCCTCCCCCGACAGGGTTCACTATTGACTCTGACCGGTACAGACTTTTGAACAAAGGTCAGAGGCTCAGTCATCCCAGGACTTGCTGGTTTGAATCACTATCACATGTCACACAAGGTGGATCAGCGAAATTTATGCAATTGCTACTCGTCGACTCCTTCGGCCTGGTCCCGGAACACTTCACTGCCAATCATCATAGTTATACATTCAAGAGCGGCGATCTCATCGTTATATAGTAGTGTAAATACAGGTCTCCATCAGGAGCCGGGGCCAAAGGATGTCTCCCTGGCTTTCGAAAATTCCCACCAACGCCTCGCTATGCGCACCCAAAGAAGAAACTCTTGTACAATGGTCGATATATAGTCCTATCAACCCGTTCTCTTTTCGGCACGGAAATGCCCGACTTAAGGCGTGCCGGCCTGAAAGGAGAAAATTTTAAAGCTGCTTGTCGAGGAACTCCTTGGCCTCGTTGATCTTGGTGGCCAGGTAGGGGCTGCCGCCACGGTCGGGGTGGTTGAGCAGCATAAGCTGACGGTGCTTCTTGCGAACCTTATCCTTGTTCAAAGTGCGTTCCCTATTCATTATGTTAGACACTGCCACCGCGCTTCGAAGACGAATGTGATTGTATGGGGAAAACTGTGACGTACGGGAGTTCCAGGATCAGGGACGCTTCGCGACGGTTCATCCGAGGTTCAAATCCACTGTATCTCAATTAGCGCTCCATCGTCGTCGACCATAATGATCATGTTAGCTCACCCTTTGTAAAACGCCTTGCCCGCGGCGCTCATGCCGCCTCTAGAACGTTGCAGAGCGACATAGCCTGCGCGACCCTGACCGAGGAAGGAGAGGTTAGCGCTCTGACGATCTATGATCAGAGATCGGCTTCAAACTTACCAAGAAGGCAGCGGTAGCAATACCAACACCGTAGAGAAAAGCAGACATCTTGCAGCAGTAAGGAATCTGGCTTGAGAAATGAGATGGGGTGGGGAGGCGCAAAAGGGATCTTGAAGATGTGACGTTGGGGGAGGAGAGGCGGCAGGCCGGCCAGATAAAAAATCGGAGCAGCGCCGCATCCCCCGTTCGGGTTTAGTGCCGGCTGCTCCACGCTTCAATTTTTTGAATGGCGGTTCCTGTCCTGAACATCGGATATCTTCTTAACACGACGGTGAGATCGAGAAAGTCTGCTACGGCTCCTGTTTCTCATTTTCCCGGCGGTCACCTGCGATAGCATCTTCCTTATCATCATTTGACTGCCGTTTTCTGGGCCTACTACGCCACAAAATAGCCCACCATGAGGTGAGTTTATCAGAACCGTCGTTATCGCTCTTGCTGGGATTATTTTTTCTGACGAAGCACCTTGATAGAGTCGAAACCTGCCACTTCTGTTCTCGCCCGGTCTACCCTAGCAAGGGTATCCAGTTCGTTCGCAACGATGCTAAGGCCTTCCGATTCTGCAGAAGCAAATGATAAGTCCCCCCCCCTCACGCTTTCATTGTAACTTCCCAGGACGAAACTGACATCCCCTTTACCCATCAGAACTTCAAGGCTAAGCGACAACCTAGACGTGTGAAGTGGACCAAGGTCGGTCGTGCCGCCAAGGGCAAGGAGATGATCGTCGACTCGTCCCTCGTCCTGTCCCAGTTCGCCAAGAAGCGCAACGTCCCCGTCAAGTACGACAGAAACCTGGTCGCCGCCACCATCAAGGCCATGGAGAGAGTGGAGGAGATCCGGCAGCGCAGAGAGCGGGTGTTCACCAAGCGTCGGTTGGCGGGCAAGCTTGCGCGGGACCGCAAGCGCGAGGAGGATCGCAAGGTGGTGGCCTCGGGCGAGCACCTCATCCGCAAGGAGCTCCGCGAGCGCGAGGAGGGCCACCTGGCCGCTCTGGAGACGGGCAAGACCAGACTGCACGGCGAGGAGCGCATCAGACAAGGGAAGAAGACCAGAGTCTTGGTGGATGGCACTACGCAGGAGGAAATGGATCTCGACTAAAGGGTCTTCTTCGGTTCTTACGTTTCTTTCTCTCCGGCTGTCCGGTCGGGCGCGATACCTTGAGGTTATGAATGGAGTTGGGTTTTGTTCAATGTTCCAAGCTTTTGTCTTATCAAAAAGTATCCCAGTGGTTTTCTCTATTGTCATGAGCTTTCATCTCCATTGTCACTATTTCTTTCGCTGTCAGTATATGGGCCTAATCATATAGAGATACTGATAAATATATCGACTTGTTCAGCAGCGATGGTCTCTTAAGTATCGGAGGCTGTTCCTCGTAAAGCGTGTGGATTTGCTGCGGGCTCGTTGCGCTCATTGTAAATGTCCTAAACCTTATCTGGATTTTCAATCCCGAATCATAAAAGGCATGTTCCAACACGATTTAATCCTAAAAGAAGCATTCAGAGCAAGCGATAATACTCTCAGTCACAGCACTGCAATGTCTACTATTCCTTAAGCTCCACCGGATTAGGCCATCATCAATGACGGAGCGCACCAAATCTCTTAAATCTGGCCGCTTGCTCATCACTAATGCAGACAGGCGGTGGGACGGCCGATGAGTCAGCCAGCCCAACGGAACGGCGAAAAGTGACCGAGCGAGGATGACCTCTTCGGCGGGAAGACGATCGTTCCGGAACGAAACCAGCTCCATTCAAAGAGCTTCCCCTCTCCCTCCTCTCACACCCCTCCCCGCCACCCTCTTTTTTCTTTTCTTGACCTTCTTGCTATTCAAAATTGAGCCTTGTATGGCATTTATTGGTCTTCCTGTGCCATTGAGACCCGAATAGAGAGAGCACCACCCACACGCCCTCCTCTCGCGCCACCCTCTAGAAACCTGTCGCCCTCCCGGGCCCATCGAAACACCATCCCCCTCCTCCCATTTCACCCTCCAAAAAACCATGGCCTCCCTGCTTCGACGGCCAGGCAATATTGCCCGGTACTCGAGGAGAGTCGCCGACAGCGTCTTCCGCGCCGGGCCGTTAGCGGTGCATGCCCCCCAATCCCGAGTTTCCGCGCTGGTCCTCGCGCAACGAGCGCGCACATATTCCACGCAAACGCCCGGCGACGACGGCTCGAAGCCTCCGCAGAACGACAAGACCAACGGGTCTAACCAGAAGCAGGCCGCGAATGGCCGGTCTGGCGATGGCAATCAGAGCTTGCCCGACTATCTGATCACACCGAAGGACTCACAGCTACTCGACAAGTACATGGGAATCATAGAGGAACGGATGGGAAAACACGGCCCTTTGGAGTCGTTTAAAGATGTGTTGGGGGAAATTAAAGAGGTCTGTCGGGTTTGCGGGTTGAATCCAACTCTCCGATCCTACATGCAGGATACCGTGGACGGGAAGGATCCGTCAATGGTAGATTTTTTGAAGTTCGCCAAGGACGTGAAAAAGCTTTCCTCGATGCATGATAGCTATTTAAGGCTGAAAGCGCAAAGGAAATCGAACTCGGCCATTGATGATCACCAAGGCGGGGTTCGGGAAGACAAGCAGGCTGCAGGCTTCTATAAGCCCGAGGCAGGAAAGGCCCAGGAAAATGCCCAGGACCAACCAAACGGCCGCAAGACCGACTCGAAGGCACAGAAGCAGAAAAATGACCAAGGACAACAGAAAGACGGCAAAGGACAGCAACCCAACGGACAGCCACCCAACATCAACGACTTGAAGCTCGATCTTCCGTCGACTATAATCGGCTCTCTCATCTTCTTCTGGCTGTGGCGAAGCATGTTCCCCGAAGACAATAAAAAGGACATCACTTGGCAGGAGTTCAGAGCGGATTTCCTTGACAAGGGCTTGGTGGAGAAGCTGGTTGTGATCAACAACAACCGAGTGCGGATTTATCTGAACCGTGAGGCGGTCGCCAGCGTTTATCCCGGATCACCTGCCACGTCTCCTACCTTCTTCTATTACTTCACCATTGGCTCTGTCGACAGCTTCGAGCGGAAACTTGATATGGCACAAGCAGAACTCGGAATTCCGAGCGCGGAGCGTATCCCTGTTCAATATACTGATGAGTTCCCACTGTTCTCTGCTCTTCTGTCCTTTGGCCCTACGCTCCTTTTCCTCGGCGGTATCTACTTCCTCTCGAGACGTGCAGGCGGCGGAGCTGGCCAGAGCGGGATCTTTGGCATTGGCAAAAGTCGTGCTAAACGCTTCAACCACGAGTCGGATGTTAAGATCAAGTTCTCTGATGTGGCTGGTATGGACGAAGCTAAAGTGGAGATCATGGAGTTCGTCAGTTTCCTGAAGAACCCCAAGAGGTTCCAGAGACTGGGAGCCAAGATCCCTCGCGGTGCTATCCTGTCGGGTCCTCCCGGTACCGGTAAGACTCTGCTTGCTAAGGCTACCGCCGGTGAGTCCGGTGTCCCCTTTTTCAGCGTCAGTGGCTCTGAATTTGTCGAAATGTTTGTTGGTGTCGGCGCTTCCCGTGTGCGCGACCTCTTCGCCAATGCCCGCAAAAACACTCCCTGCATCATTTTCATTGATGAGATTGACGCTATTGGTAAATCGAGATCCAAGAACCAGATGGGTGGTGGAAATGATGAGCGCGAGAGCACTCTGAACCAGATTCTCACCGAGATGGATGGTTTCAATACCTCCGAACAAGTGGTTGTCTTGGCTGGTACGAACCGACCCGACATTCTCGACAAGGCTTTGATGCGTCCCGGTCGATTCGACCGGCATATCTCCATTGATAGGCCTACCATGGATGGCCGCAAGCAAATTTTCGCCGTTTACCTGAAGAGAATTGTGACCAAGGAGGATATCGAGTACCTGAAGGGTCGACTTGCTGCCTTGACCCCCGGATTTGCTGGTGCCGATATTGCCAACTGCGTGAACGAGGCGGCACTCGTTGGTATGTTCCCTGCATCTTGCCTTTTCAATCCGCAATGCTAATTTCTGGATTCACAGCGGCTCGTGACAATGCGGATAGCATCACCATGAACCACTTCGAGCGGGCGATCGAGCGTGTAATTGGTGGCTTGGAGAAGAAATCGCTAGTACTATCTCCCGAGGAGAAGCGGACGGTTGCATACCATGAGGCTGGCCACGCTATCTGTGGCTGGTACTTCCGTTGGGCAGATCCTCTTCTGAAGGTTTCTATCATCCCCCGTGGCCAAGGAGCTTTAGGCTACGCACAGTACCTGCCCTCCAACGGCGACACCTACCTAATGACACAGAGGCAAATGATGGACCGCATGGCTATGACGCTGGGTGGCCGTGTCAGCGAGGAGATGCACTTCGATACCGTCACAAGTGGCGCCAGTGATGACTTTAACAAGGTTACCCGGATGGCCTCGGCCATGGTGACCAAGTTTGGCATGTCTCCTACGCTTCGTTATATTCACTACGAGGAGGATCCTCAATCGCAGATGCACAAGCCTTTCTCCGAACATACAGCGAAAACTATTGATACGGAGGTGCAGCGTATCATCAGCCAGGCTCATCAGCAATGCCGCGATCTCCTCGAGGCGAAGAAGAAGGAAGTCGGCATTGTGGCCGAGGAACTTCTTAGTAAAGAAGTTCTGAGTCGAGACGATATGATCCGTCTCTTGGGACCCCGGGAATGGCCTGAATCTGGCGAATTCGCCAAGTACTTCGACGGTCGCCAAGGCGCCACGATTGCTCCCCCGGAACCGACAGAGACAGACAGCACCCAAGGCAAGGATGGACGCGACTCCACGCCAATTCCCCCATCGTCATAGACTCCGACATCGCCATCGCTTACCCTTTACTATCATTGGTTCTTCATCATGTTGTAAACGTTTATCGTCATTTTATTTGTGTGTCTATCGGAGCAGGGATTACTTTTTACGGTTGATGAGGGGAACTTACATCGCTTTTCTTCTTTCTATCTCCTCCATTTTGTTTAGGTCCTGTATTTATTCGTCGTGTTTTCCCAGTCACGGAGCATCTCCTTTCAATCTTCTCTCATACCATCGCTGGAGGAACCCAGTGCGTTCCAGACTCCTGATTCTACCTCCTGCGTCGACGCGGTCGGCCACACCCCTTAAATACTAAGATTCATGCTTTCTTTTCTTCGTGCCCTTCCCTCCCCACTATCCAACCTTCCTCCATCATCGTCGTCTAGTATCTACTCAGCTCTCTCTCGGTATCTTCTCCCCTTCTTCAGGTGACCCGGTGAATGTCCTCCCGTCGCAGGATGAGACCGGGTCTCATGTATCATTCATCGTGTATGTATATTAGGTAGTTAGTCACAGTGGTGTTTCGTTTCGATACAAATTTGATTAGTGATAGATATCTCCGTTTGGCATCCAGGGACCGTCAGAATACGAAGCCTGGGTGTCGACGGGATTGACACGGTTGTGCGTGGTATATATTCCCACTTCCGTGGGCTTTTCACATTGACAATGATAGACGTAATACTACGCTAGCTACGGATGGCCATTTGGCCATTGTGGAATTAATTTATCGGACATCAATTCGCCGCCGCTAAGCAACGTCTCTGAGAGACCGCTTGGGCTCCTTAACATGTTGACTGACTCTGAATTTAATAACGACTGTATAAATAACGGGCAATCCCATAAAATGGCGCTGATGCTGAGTTTTGTTGACGGGATAGCTATTCAGCCGGAGCGGATAGTCACATGATGCACAATTCTCTTTGCCCGCAGCCTTTTAGCACCACGAACTTTATGTATAGTCTCCATCAACATGTTTAGTCCAGAAATCCTGGGTTTATCAGATACTTTATAGAGATCCACCGTCTCTAAGCGTTATTCACCTGACAGTTTGTTCGCAAGAGGATTTTCACAAGAAGCTCCCTGCAGGGCATTCCACAGGCCTGATTTAAAACCTGGATATCCTCTTCAAGGTCGAAGTTGGTTTCCACGAGGGTGGAATTGGTATCTGACTCAGATAGAGATTCGTCGACGAGGCGGCGCCATGCATCTCCCAGGTTTCTGATGGCTTTAATGTAGCGTTGCGACTGCGGCTGGCGGGATAATACGGCCAGTGGCCCGAGGAGGTCGGCGGGCATGATTGCGTACTGCGCAGCTGGAAGAGGTGTTCTCTTTACGGAATGGGCTGGTTGATGAGGCTGCTGAAGAAGAGAGGTCGAGGTAGGACAGAGCGCGTGCTTGCACTATCGTGCGTATAGCCCCTCATCTAAGCGATTAGCTTGACTCACTAAGGATTGGTTAGTAAGCCTAGCCAGGTACATACATGTATACAGTAGCATTGTAATGAGCTGACGCTAATTACCCTGATGATAGACAGGAGGGAAGAAGCCTTGTAACTCTCTTCGATTGGGAAAATTGTCTCTACTTTTGGCAAGCCACTGTTTCGCAGGTTTATGCCCCCGTGAGTCCTAGCATTCGGCTGGAGCAGCAAAGAAGCTCGGCACTACTTCTGCCATGTCTTTGGCCTTTCAAAGGCTCTGCTGAGAGACGTTGATCTGTCATTAACAACCCTTCACACCCTATCTATATACCTTTATATACTTTACCTAACATGATTTGGCCAGACCCGTGTGCAGTAGGTAACGGCCAAGGAGCAGAAGAGGCTCAGGAGAAGGGAGGGAAAGGAGGCGGGTTAGGAAGACCAAATGCGTCTTTTTCAAGACAGGAAGAGAGCGACCGTGGTGACTAAGATGATACCGCCGGTTTCATATTCCCACGGGTTTATTTAAGGGTGTGGCTAAAACAGTGAATTGGCTGGATCATGTTAATAGGAGCTGGATGTCTGGCCAGGAGAATGCGAAGTGGGATCGCCTTATCTGAGGCCTTTTGCACAGCCCCAAACACCGTCAAAAGCCTTGAATCCGACCATGATCATGTGTCGCAGGGGCTACTTGGTGTAGGACCCAATGAGCTGAGAGAAATATCAATCCAAGACAGCGGAGCGTGTTCGTCTTGGCAGGTGATCTCTCCTCCATCCCGTGTTTCGGGGCTTTGATGATCACGTGTCTCAGCACGAGAGCCAGGTCTGCGACAACAGAGGAGAAGAACCGAGACACGGAGCGAAAAACACGAAGAGGACAAAGAAAGCAAGATACTTTACTAAGACAGATATCAAGCGAAGTGCGGCGAAAGGAGGCTCCTTTCCCTCATAACCACATCAAATATCTTCGGCTCTCCGTGTATCGCAGGGTCGGCAAGACGCTGGCGCTGCACATGAGAACTAGCACAGACTCTATATCCAACTGCGCTTGCCGATGTTTACGCCGTTGTGAGTTGTTACTCCGATCGTCAAAAAGTTCTACGGGTAGTGATACAGTCAAGAGGCTTACGCCACAAACTATGTCTGATGCTGAAAGGATATCCAGAGACAAGACCAATATCCCGCCGATTTCACTTCTTGTAGAGCAATGGTCTGCTATATAGCGGTGAAGAAAACATCTCCAGTCACGGAACAAAGAGTTGCATGCCCATCCTGCCTTGTGGACGGTACCCACGAGCATAACATATAAGGGAGCCAGCGATCCAGCACTGTCAAACCACATTACACTTCAACCTTTCACAAACACCGCACCAGCCGGCTTTCGCTGAGCTCTCTTGCACCTGCCCTATCCTGACATCTATCTCCTCTTCACCATCCGCCTTGCTGTGTCTCTCCATCTTACTCAGAGACGTCCCTCCACCCCTGGCTGAACCTCGACCCTCATATCGAAACTGCCCCGTGTCAAACTCGCTCAGCGCCGTCGCCACCGCAGCGATGAGTTGGGGCTCGAATCCGTTGGGCCTACGAGAACAGTTTGGCGTCAACGGGTTCGTCAGCTCTGGTCAAACACGTCCGGCCAGCCCTTAGTAGCACACCGACTGCACCTCGGAGAGGTCATCACTCCAGGATTTCCAGTCCGATCCCAGACTGATGACCTCGTCGTCAGTCAACCCGCGACGGGCATTGGCGGCTTCTTCGAACTCGTCAGGGGTCCGGACCCCTCCCCCTAAGGCGAGCTCGAAGATATCCAAGATCGCCGAGTCCGGGTCGGTGACTACCCCGTAGATCGTACTGCCCAGGGCGCCCGCGTCCCCAATGAGCGACATCATGTCGGCCAGCTGCTCCAACCCGTCCGAAATGAGCCGGACCTCTCCCAAGAAGGGGACAATCATGAGGAAGCCAAAGATGATCTCCTCGATCATGGCCTTCTTCTCCTCCGCCGACGCCTTGTCGGCGACCTCGACCACCACGCCCATGTTGGCTACGGCCTGCGCCAGCGTGAAGACGACCGTCGAGATGGTGAGGAGCACGTTCTCCATGCTGCCTCCGTAGGCGCCCGTCGCCGCCAGGATCTGGGTTAGGAGAATCGTCTCGGTGAGATTCTGGATCCCCGGCAGTGCATCCTCGATGATCGTCTGCGGGTTGGTCACGTTGATGGTGTCCGCCGGCAGAGGGTAGCCCTTCAGCACGCCCCGGTTGGGCTGGCAGGTCTTGCCGGACCCCACGCCGCAGCTCGACCCGACGTCCTCGTCCCCGAACTGAACCCAGTCCTCCTGGATCCCGGTAGTAGCGCTGAGGTTGGCCCAGAAGGCGGTGGCGTTGACGAGGTTGTAGTAGATCTCGTAGCCGTTGTAGACCTGCTCCGAGTCGAACGGACAGCTGGTCGTGGATGTGTTGACGCCGCCGTCGCTAAAGGTACACGTGAAGAAAGCATTACCCGCTCCTCCGGGGTTCATGTACGCCGTCAGCGCGCCCGGAACCTCCTCGCGGATGTATTTCTGGTACTCGGTGAACTTGCCGCCGTAGTTGGAGAGGATGTCCGTGTAGTTGGCCATCGTCGCGTTGAGCATATCGGCAAGAATGCCCAGGGCATAGTAGTTCACACAGAAGTCCTCCAGGGAGCTTGAGGAAGAGCTCAGGCTTGCAAAGCTGTCGAATGTCAGGGTGTAATCGCAGGTTTCGATGTCCTGCAGGCAGCTGGAAGTGGAGTCGACGGATTCATCATCATCCGTGCAAACCAAGTCGCTGGCATCGTCCCCGCCGACGTCATCCGAGCAGACGGGTGACGGGCAGTAGCCTCGCTCGCAGGCAAAGTCACACAGGCCTCTATCTGGGTAAACATCCGTGGTGTAACCATAGATGGTCGTATTTGCGGCCGGCGGCACATTCAGCGGACCGGTGGCGGTGCACGTGCAGTTGTGGATTGGACAGAAGCCGTAGCCACAGCCATAGCTACATAGACCCGCCAGGTCACCCGTTCCTTCTCCAGCAGTACAGGTGCTCGGAGTGAAGGGCGACACCGTCGACGTAGTAAGAGGGACTTGGGTCGTGGTACAGGCTGACGGAGGACAGTATCCGTAGTTGCATGAGAAAGCACAGAGACCTGTGTAGTCGGCCGTCATCCCAGCAGCTGGGTAGCCAACTACCCCCAAGCTCTTTGGTAAATCCGCCTGAGGGCCCATCTTTTGGCATAGGCAGGCGCCGACGGGGCAGTACCCCAGCTTGCAAGCAAAGGCGCAAAGGCCTTCGAAGTTACCTACCCCCCAGCCCTGGACGCAGACCTGGTCCGCGAGTGAATAAGTCGGGGTGGCTGAGGTCAGGGTAGGCGCCATAGCACTGCCTACCCAGGCGTTCCAGTTCTCAATGTCGCTGGATGCGGCACAGCCGGTGACAATATCTGGGCCTGTAAAGCTCGCAATGATAGCACCGTCTCGACTGATAGCCACCTCCACGGTTCCCGCCTGAACCGAGAATGCCGCACTGCCATGGTAGAGACCTGCACCTCCACTTGGAGTGCTGTTCCACGCCGCCTCCAAAGCAACATCCCCGACTGTTACGGAGACGTCTGCTGACGAACCCAGTAGGGCGGAAAAGATTACCCGGTCTTGAGGAATCTCGTACGGCCAATACTCCAGCTGCAGCTCGCTGGCAGTATTACCGGTGGTCCCGCCGTCCGAGGCGCAGCTCCCACGAACATTCAGTCGATACCATGCTTGAACACCTTCTTGCGTGATAGTCGAGATATTGTTTTTGTAGATATCGATAAGCCAGGGGAGAAAAGCTCGCCAGCCATCATGGGGCATATTCAATGCATAGTTGTACGGGGATTCACCGGTCCCAAACGCAGTATACATGGATTCCGCCAACGGAGAATCACTGTCCTGGATCGGGCTAATATAATGAGACTCCCCAAAACCATTCCAGGAAATAATCTCAATAAAGTCAGGCGCCAAATACATGGCCTGGACCCAACGATCATACCAAAGATCACCACCACGCCACGGCCAGTTCTTGTCGTATCCGGGCATGTTCGTGAAAAACCACGGAGATACCGGCATCATGTACGATTTACCATCCAGGAAGTCGATATAAGAAGCATCCACATAGGTGTTCATGTCACTTGGGCCGTACGGCCATGCCGCCCAACTAAACAGACCGTCGGCCACTCCACTGCCTAGATTCACGGCAACGTCCGCTCCAACAGAGGACCAGTCAGGGAGAAAGAAACACCCGGTCTGTTCCTTGATATCAATCCAATCGTCTGCATTGTCGGGGCCTTCAAAGGTAGAGACAAAGGGCTTCGACTCATGACGCCAGTATGCTCCGTCAGAGGTGTAAGTCTGCAGCATAGTGAGTACATCAGCCTTAGCCCATGGCCCGTTGCCTGCGTAATCAAACGAGAAGAAGAGCGACAGCCCGGTATTGCTAGCGGCAGCGAAGGCGTTCTCGAGTGATTGAGTATTTGTGGCGTCGCCCACGGCCATATTCATGGCGAATGCATCGATCTTAGCGTCGAGCGCAAGTGTCATCTCATTTTCCCAATCACTAACTGTGTAGTTCAGGGTATTGGACACCTTTTCGGCCTGTTAGTGCGAAACCTTTCTGCCAGACTGTCAAACTAAGAGACCTACCATGAAATGGGCGAAAACTGCCCGACAATGGGCTCGGGTGGCCAAGAGGACGAGCGACAGAATCACTGGGAGGAAAGACCCCATGGTGATAGAGGCAACTGTCTGCCAGGCTAGCCTGTGCACAAAACAAAGTCTGAAAGAGAGGGAAAGGTTTCAGTCAAGGACAAGAAGTAGATTTTAGTGAACGAATGAAACTTCTTGGTATGTAAACGAATGAATCGGGAGTTAGAGAAGCGAGCGTTAGGTAGGTGAGATAAGTGATTCTGTCATAACATGGCTTCGGCAAGAGATTTCTAGCATTTACTTATAGATAGATCAAGTCTGTCTCTTATGGTCGGGCTCTACGGAAAACCCCGACAGGCATAGCATTACCATCATTGATCTTTTTTAGACGATGGCGAGTGAGGACTAGCTAGATAGGCCTTTGGGCTCGCGACATGAGGGAATATTTGCCATGAGTCCGTCGGTCCACAATGAATTCCCCACCACGAGTGTTGCAGTCGATAGTCTATGTTCTAGTACCATGACCCAAGAGTCAAGACAATTTTCCTATCCAGCGATGACCTCGGAGATTATACTGTGCTAATGCCACAATTCAACAAACACCCCCTGAATAGTCACTCTGGTAGTCCCCTACGGGACTAGTTTTACCATGCCCGACACGATATACCTAAATGAGATAAAGGGGCCATGTATCTCAGCATTGAAGCACCGGAGGGCCCTGAACAGCACAAGATGAGGTTGTCTCACTCTACCTTTCTGGGTCTCTTTGCTCTCACTGCGACTACGATCGCAAGTACCGCTTGTCTAGATAACTCCGTCCATGATACCATCGCCTTCTTCAGTGGAACCGCTCTGACGTTCGGCTCCAACTATACCAATGCAGCAGACTGTGGCCACAAATGCTCGACACTTCCTGCATGTCGAACCTGGCTCTTCACCAGTGGTGGGCAGTGTGAACTTTTTCGCCACTCTCCGGTCGCAGCAGCACCCAATCCCAATTTCACCTATGGTTTGTGCAGTCAGGGGAGCAGTCCTTCCCAGAGCGTTCGGCCTCCACCCATGCCATCTTCTTCCCATCTGATTCACCAGACCGCAACCTCTTCGCCCACTTCTAGTATGGTAGGTCTCTACATAATACATGAGTGGTTCTCCCAGCTCTGATTGCTCGTTTGTTGTGATTTCACTGACCCTTTCACTCGGCTCAGATCCCAGTTAATGCCGCTAGCAAACGGCATCTTCAATTCCACAAAGACGGTAGCCATCATCACCATCATTGAAAGACGAAGTCGAGGCAGAATCGCGAAGGGAGAGTTTGAGGTGGCAGGCGATGCTCGAGCTCAAGTTTCTGAATCTTTCCCCTGTTATTTCAGCGTTCTTGCCTCTCTGTGATACCTCGAAGTCCCACTTGTTGCTCTTGTCCTTTCTGTTATCCAGGCGACAGCTATTTTTAAACCCTCTCATTTACGTATGCTCAAAGCTCAAACAATATGTTAACGCTGATAATCATTCTGATATCTGACCAACTGTGATGCAGAGGAAAAGACCTAAAAAGACGTACTACGAAATGAGCATGAGTAAAAGATAATCTTGGATATGGAACAACGCCGGCCATTGCGCAACGGGCACCCAAATAGGCTAACCCGTTAGAGATTACCCCCTTTCCTTAGTAGTTTATGTACAGAACATCCTATATATTCTCGAAGTACGGCGGATGTATTCCTTCCTTCTTCAGTCCCCTCCACCCCCTCGGCTCAGCAGGGGACAGACATGCAATAACACAAAGCAGAACTCGGTCTCCAGCTACCAATTAACCAAATATGAGCGACCAAACAGAACGACCCTTGCAATTTGATAACACTGGCTCATGTCCACTTCGAGTGCCAGGATTCAGCGGAATTCCCCTGGACTATGAGTTCGATATCAACCAACGCTTTGCGCATGGAGCACGCGAGCATTACTCAAGAAGAGCCATCAGGCTCACCGCACCTGAGGTCCAGATGTTGCGACTCATGGAACGGATCACAGACATTCCGAACTGGGAATACGATGTGTTTGACGAACAAAATCTTGCCCAGTGGCGTGCACAGGCATCTTCATTTTACGCGAGCCTTGACTCGAACTCAGATCAGGACGTGGACATGGACCTGATCACGACGAAAGCATGGCTCTGGTGCGTGGCGGAACTGCAGGATAAGGCTAAGGGCTTCCGGGACACCGGATATGTCATCGTTCTCAATGCCGACTCCGGCGTAAGCAAGATCGACGACGAGGCTCTGGGGGATGATCTCCAAGAAGCACTCCGTCCGCTCTTGCCAACAAAGAAGGGTGGTGGCATTCGCAATTTAGTAGATCCGTCGCTTTACATGCTGGTCTATGGCCGGACAACAGTTCTCAGTCATGGTGGTCGGGTTGCTCTGCCTGCGGGGGACGGCTCAGCCTCCCAGTTCTATCCGCCTTCCACCGATCCCAGACTAGCCACGGCACCTGTGCAGGATCTCTCCAGGAGTAGAACGGCCCTGATTCCCCGAGAACTCTTTTATCTTCAGGATAATCTCAAGTTACAACAGGTTTCCTTTCGCTTCCAATGGCTACCTTGCGAGGTGGAGTTTGCGGAGCCGTCGGGGACGGCAGTACGGATCACCTCGTATATCAACAATCTCCACCCAAGCCATACCCAGGCCTATTCTGCAATCGAGAAACTCATTTCTTACGCAATAGGATCGTGGAATGAGGTCCTAGTCAAAGGCACTGGCGGGCGCATGCCTCGGCGCATCTATACCTATGGCGTCACAGACCGAGAAGAAGAATGTCTTATGGATGTAGAACCGCCGGAGGACATTCTCCCAGTCGTGTGGAATCAAGAGATTACTCGACGCGCATGGTCTTCTGAGCAATGGGAGAGTCACTGCGCCAAGGTGCGAGAGTATTTGACATTGCCTGATGTGGATCCCAAGTACCGTGTCTTCGAACACGAGCCCGGGGACCCCCCTGAGACGGAGGATCTTCTGGCTTGGATGACGCCGGAGATGTGGGCGTCCCCTGCACGCGTCGAGGAGATCATCCGGGCGAAGTTCATGCGACTGCATCGGTTCTCATACCCCGAGCCTGGGATTTCCTATACGTATGAAGACTGGAAAAGAGGCCAGACCGCGAACCCCATCTTCGGGCCATGGCCATGTGACCACGAGTTCGACTCGCCTCGAAATCACGACTACTATTCGGTGTCGCTCGAAGATCAGTTCCGCAAACAGGGGCTGCAGGTGATTGTTCAAGTCTTCAGCATGGATCTGACGCCCGAGGGCTGTGGTGATGATGGTGCCCATGCATACCTCGGAGATCCAGAGTTCCACGTGGACGGGATGCTCAACGAGCATATTGTCGCCACCGCACACTTCTGCTATAGCGCGGAGAACATCACAGAATCCCGCATCTCCTACCAACAACGGGACAGGTTGCACATATCCGGCCATCAACCGGACCCCTTCTGCATCTACAAAGTTTACGGAATCCCTCCCTCTCCGGGACCGGGCGAAGACACAAACGCTCTGCCGCTGCAAACCCTAGGGTCCGTCGCCGTCACTCAAGGTCGTTTTCTCATGTGGCCCAATGCCTTGCGATACAAGAGGCTTCCGTTCTCCTTGCTCGACCCGAGCCGCCCGGGCCATCAGCGGTGCGTCGTCTTGTGGCTGGTGGATCCCCACTATCGCATCTGCTCGACTCGGAATGTGCCCCCGCAGCAGCATGGTTGGTGGCGCAATGCGGTCTTGGCGAATTCCGCCACGACTCCGCTCTCGACTCTTCCCCAGGAGCTGATGGACATGGTCATGAAGAAAACAGGGCCTTGGCCGATGCAACTCTCCGAAGCTTTGCAGTACAAGGCAGACTCCGAGAAGGAGCGAGAGGAAGCCGTTCCGCACCAGCTTTCGCACATTCAAGCCTACGATTTCTGGTGGGAATTGAGTTAGTGCCGAGCAGGGGGTTTTACACCACAGAATGTTACCGTTCAGATCTTGGTGGTTTGCTTTTTCGCTTATTCGTCGTTAAAAAGTCTTAGGTGCCTATAACAACTTGGGTTTTGGTTGACATAGATTGTGTGAGGGATATTGTAACTTTCATAGGGCTCAGTACTTATCTGAGTGGACTTGAGTACCACGAAACTTCCACAAGCCTTTACAGACAATGGACAGAATTCGCAGTTTGAGTCCGATCTTCTAGACCCTTTTTCTTTCCCAATCTCACAAGAAGCACTCTTTCACCGAGTTGATACTTTCCATGAGACTGGGCAATGGAATCACCATACGACGCCTGATATGCCATGTTGGAAAGCCTGATGATCGCTCAGTGCCATAAATGATCAAATTTTGTACCTCTACTTGAATTAACTTGAAATAATCTTCGTTCTTCAGATCATCAATGTAAATAATAATATCTGGTCTGGTATAGCCTTTCCAAACATCTGCTTGCTGTCTCCACTTGTCTTCGGGTGAAATATTCCGATAAGTAATAGGTGAGTTTAGGCAGAGTAAATCAATTGATGTAAGCTGATAATGCGGAACAAGAGCCACAGGTTTACAGCAGTGCTTTTGTTGTTTCTGAAGGTGTTTCTCAATTTTGGTTATTGTCAGCTTCCAAGACGCGTTAGTCTAGTCACCCAGACACTGTAACTGCTGAGTATAATAAGAACAAATAACCGGATTCACCGGGCCTCTGAAGATATCAGACTTATAGTTATTGCCCAAAATATAATTAAGATAGGATATGATAAACTCCACAGCCTTAGGGCAATATTATTAATCAAAATTATTGCACCATGTCCGGTTTGCTCACAGCTGATAAGTAAATAAGTAATTTCTGATAGATAATCCAGCTTGACACGAAGCGATATTGTTGTTGAAATTATAGATTTGAATAAAGGAAAAGGCAAAGGAGATAGCTTTTTGTCTTATCAATCTATCCTAGCCATTATGGAGGAACGACGCAAGCTTCGATGGTGAATTTGTCTAAGTTCGCATTGAAATCTTCTCAAGTTAACCAAAGCATTTTCTGGTGATTCGTTCATTGTAACTTTAATCTATTCCAGGTCAGTAGACATTTTTATATCCAATTGGTAGAGATTCTAACATTTAGGAAGTTTTGACACTATATGCATCTGAAGAAGCTGAGGCCTGCGAATAGGCTTTAGGCTCTTAAAGATTCTATCGACCAAAGATTTGCGCTTGCGAAAGGTGGGCATCTGGATAGGAAATCAAAGAATTTTTATATTGTTCCAAACTCAGCAGACCTCACAAAAAGACAGCAGTAAGCCAGATTGTAGTATCTGTGCTCGAAAATCACAGACCACACTTATTTAGAATTGTATAAATAGAGCCGCGGTTCAAGACTCCTGTTACCTTAAATCTCTACTTTAAATTGTTATAATCTACAAAATAGCTTCTTCTACAGAGGACCCCCTGAAAGGTGACTTACCTATAACAGATTAAGGCAGATATAATTTAATATTTTTAATTGTATTTAGTATCGAATGATCAATCCACACCTGAGCCTATATTTGATGACACAGCCAGTATTAATACAATTTCTATAGCCTCACCGCGCTATAGCCCTGGGCTATCTCCTTCGTGCCAGAATAATAAGCATATTCATGAAAAATCTCATAGCGGCTATACTTGTGCTACTGACAAAACCTATATCAAGCCACTTGAGGCTGTTAAATCTTATAGATCTATATTTTTCGATCTTCGTTATTACTTAACAGGTACTATTATTCATGCTGTATTCTACTCAAGAAAAGGAGTAAATGGTAGAAAGGAATTTCTGGTTTACAGACTAAACGAAGCCAGATTTTGATTATGGATATAGCATTGGGATTCTGTTTATCAGAATCTTGGAAAACCTAGCTTACGCTTTGAATAGCTCAAAGAATGACTTTGACAGGGCTACATTCATGATCTTCATCCTTGCTTTGGAAAGAGATATAATCAAGCCAAATGTTATATTGTGTATACGAGCGTCAAAGGACTCAAAAGTCAAAGATTATCTAAAAGTATTTGACCGAGTCAGAAGCATGGCAGAGATAAATGAAGCAGATGTCTTCGGCTTACAGAAATCTTGTAGAAAGATAACGCAGTTGATACGGCAGGCATAGCAAGCACTCCACAGACGTAAGTACTATAGCGGTGACATTGAGCAATGAGTTAAGCCGCATTAGCCACGTAGCGTTCGTCCTCAAGCAGATTGCTAAGGCGGAAAGGTGACAAGGTGCTGATCTGTATTTCCACGCAGCAGATAGCCAAAGGGCAAAGGGCGCTTACCTAAATAGGAATGCTATACTTGTTTAAGTAATTCGCCGTCACCGCAGAATACGTAGTAATAGTTGGACAAATCAGGGATTTCTAGTACGGCTACTGGGAATGATTGGCACTGCATTCATATTTTGATACCTAAATCTGAATATTCTAAACACAGTATACTTAAGGTGCCTGATATCATGAATTATATACATATTTACTAGATATAAATTAAATTAGAATTATCCAGGATTATTCTAGCAATATTTAACTACCTTTAGAATAATAAAAAAAAGATATCTATATATTTTTTATATTAATTTAATAAATTTTATAATTACCTGTAACAGATTTATAAAATTATATATTAATATTAAATTTAATAAAATAAAATATTCTAAATATTTTATATTTAACTGGGTGGAAAATATAGATAATATTTATTTTTTTAAATATTATAATTTATAATATTAGAAAATACTATAAAATATAGAGCTAAATATAAATATAAAAAAAATAAAAATATTATATTATTAATTATTAATAAAGATAAAGATAATAATATATATTTATTTAATTATAATTTTAGCTAAAATTAAATTATTATTATAAATAACTATTAGATATAATAAGATAAAACTAGAATTTTTATAATTAGAGTAGCTAATAGCTAGATTAGGTTAGGTTAATAGGAATTTTTATATCTAACTATAGATTAATAATTAGATTAAAGAAATTTTTATACCTAATTATAATATAATTAAAAATAAAATAATTAATTATTTTAATTATTCTTAGTATTAAGATTTATTTATTATATTTTTTTTTAATTTTAATATAATTAAGATATATCTAGATTAAATAAAAATTAATTTAATTATTTTAATTATTATCTAAAAATATATAAAAATAAGTTTTTCAGAATAAAAAAAAATAATTAAAAAATATAATAATATCTTTTTTTTCTTTATTTATAAAAAAAATAAGGAAATCCTGGTAGTATTAATATAATTTAATTTTTTAAAATATTATTATTTTTATAATAAAAAATATAAAAAGAAATATATAATTATAATTTAATTTAGATTATATATTAAAAATCTAATAAATTATATAAAAAATATTATATTTTTATTATTAAAATAATAATTAAAAATTAGTATAATACCTCTAAACTATTATTAAATTTTTTTAAATAAATTTAATAAACTTATTATTTTCTTATTATTTATTAAAAAAAGTCTTAATTATTTATATATTAAATTAAAGATTATCTATATTATATTATATAATTAATTTATTTTAATAATTATATTATTTATAATTATTTAATTTAAATATTAAATAATATATTATATCTCTAATAAAAGATTTTATAAAAATTTTTTTTAAATTTTTTTTATATAAATATTTTCTTTATTTAAATTTATTATTTTTATTTAATATTTATATTTAAATCTTTAGAAAAAACTAGATATATTAAAACTATAAGATTTCTAGAAATTAAAATATAAATAATAAAATATTTATTAAAATATAGCTTATATCTTAATAAAATAATA